GGTGATATGCATTGGCCAAAAGGAATGTGTCTGGGAAAGCAGGTATGTATCCTTTTTTTTGTAGAGGAGTCTGCTGCTACTGTAGATTACACCTATATGTGAGGTAAGAGGCAAGCAAGAAATGCTTGTGCTGGCTTGGCTCTGTGTTGCTACTGTATGGACTCTTTGACTGTGAAAATTGCTAGCTGAAGTTGGCCTTAAAGTTTGTATTGTGTGGGCAATTTAACCTGCAAACAGGGGCGGACTGACCATTTGGGAAACTCGGGCACTGCCCGAGGGCCCAGGGTCAGTAGGGGACCCCATGAGATGCCCCTGGTACCTTTTATATAGACTTTTTTGAGTTTGGGCAAGGACACAGGGGCCCCATGATCCCCTATTGCCCGGGGGCCCCAACAGGAAAGGTTTTACAGGTGGAGGCTACTGACATTTTTTTCCCCACTCATGTTTTTTGCATTTGGCTAGGGTCAGTGTCATTACTGGTAGCCTGAGGCGATACCTGAACCCTACAGAGGTTGCACAGGCAGTCCAACTCCTCCAGTATGGCACATCGATACATACCATTGTCTCAAGAACATGGAGGAGATTTCAGGAGACAGGCAGTTACTCTAAGAGATCTGGAAAGTGCTGTAGAAGGTCCTTAACCCATCAGCAGGACCGGTATCTGCTTCTTTGTGCAAGGAGGAACGAGATGAGCACTGCCAGAGCCCTACAAAATGACCTCCAGCAGGCCACTGGTGTGAATGTCTCTGACCAAACAATCAGAAACAGACTTCATGAGGGTGGCCTCTTGTGGTCCCTGTGCTTTCTGCCCGGCACCATAGAGCTCAATTTGGATTAGCCATTGAACACCAGAATTATTAGGTCCACCACTGGCGCCCTGTGCTTTTCACAGATGAGAGCAGGTTCACCCTCAGCACATGTAAGACATGAAAGGGTCTGGTGAAGCTGTGGAGATCGTTATGCTTCCTGTAACATCGTTCAGCATAACCGTTTTGGTAGTGGGTCAGTGATGGTCTGGGGAGGCATATCCATGGAGGACCAAACAGACCTCTACAGGCTAGACAATGGCACCCTGACTGCCATTAGGTATCAAGATGAAATCCTTGGACCCATTGTCAGACCCTACACTGGTGCAGTGGGTCCTGGTTTCCTCCTGGCGCACGACAATGCCCGGCTTCATGTGGGGAGAGTATGCAGGCAGTTCCTGGAGGATGAAGGAACTGATATGATTGAATGGCCCCCATGCTCACCTAACTTAAAGCCAATAGACTACCTCTGGGATATCATCTTTTGGTCCATCTGATGCCGCCAGGTTGCACCGCAGACTGTCCAGGAGCTCACCATTCTTTCACTTTGATTCTTTAATTAAATTCTCTGTAGGTTGATCATTTTCATTTCCATCAAACGATGGGGCATCCTTACATTCCTAACACATTACCCACTCCATATCAGTATAGATATCCAGCATGATATTTTCCTCATTGAGATCTGATGTGTTTCCTTTAAATTTTTTGAGCAGTGTATTTAGTAAAAAACATGGCAAGTTTTTTGAAGTTGTAATGTTTTGTCACAATTGAAATTAAATAAAAATGTGTTTTTTTCACCAGTGCAGTAATCCTATGACTGGTGTGGTCATGATCAGGGATACTGACTGGTGACAGTAAAAAGAAAAAAAATTATTAAATTTTTAAACATTTTTTTATTTTATTTTAAATTATTCTTTTTTTTTTACAATTTGTTTAGTGACACTGTACTATTTTGACACTGTTATTTATTTCCTATTTTAATGACACTGTTATTTATTTATTTGCTGTGGGCTTCTTTATTTACTGTGGGGCAATCACAGCATAGGAAGAATAGGAATCACAGCTGTTATAAATTAAATTCAATCATTACAGCTTTATTGACATTGTGATCATGTGATCATATAGTGATCATATGATCCTCAGCCATGCAATGCGGCAGGTACTGGGAAACGTAATACCGGGAATAGTTGTGGGAACAGTGCGTTGCATGGCCCAGGGGGGCGCGCCAGTGCACGTGTGGTCAGCAATGTGTATTTACGTTGCTGAACCTGGCCGTGCCGCTGTCCATAAAGGTATTGTGGCTAGGTGGCAAATGGTTAACAAGTAAGTCTGCCATAATGTGCTAATATGTGGTGCATACTTGCACATTATGGCTAAGAGCTCCTTGGGGTCCATTTAGAAAATGAGTGTGCAGTTTAATTCTGCTTAGCTTTTTAGGATCAAACAAAAACTATGTTGCTTCACAAAGCCAGTCTTTTGGAATCCTGCTGCCCCCTAAACTTTACACACCCAATAAAATTAAGATCAAATTAACACAGAAGATTGCATTTTGCAGATATTTATAGAGCTGTAAAAATAGCTACACTAAAAAGACATTAACATATAGTGATGAAAATCCCAGAAGTGGTTCAACTTTGTGGATTTAATGATGCTTTTTTTTTACATTTCAAACATGATGTCCAATAGCACATTTTTAAATAATTTTATATTTTTTTTAATTTTAACCCAGTACCTTATCTTGTAGTGATGTGATCTTAGCCTGTGTATGTATTGTATGGGTCTGTCTATGGCTGTATACGGATATTAGATTGCATGTTTGGGGAAAGGAACTGATGTGATTTTGTGAGTGACAATGTTTTATGTAAAAAGACTGACTTAAATTAGCCAATAGAAGGTGTGTTTGTGTCAGTCATTCAGTAATGAACTGGAGAATGTATTATTTTGTAAAAAATTATCTTGCACTTGGTTGGATCTTTAAAATGAATTAAGGTTTCATGGACCAGCATAATACAGTAGGACTCTTTGAGACTTTTTCTCCTTCCTTTTCTCTGTTCCCCTTTAATTCTGCACTGAAGTATTTAACTGATGCTTATGCCTAAAATTTTGATGAAAATTATGTTTTTGTTCCACATTAATCCTTATTATTCCAGTGTTCAAAGTTGCTAACCTCACATTTTAAAAATGGTTTTCAATCTTTGCTTTTTGAGTCATTAGTCTGAAAATATAGAACTATATGGTTGGATTACTAAAGGCTTATAGGCTATTTACTTTACAAGGGAAGTTGAATTTTTCAAGAGAATTTCCTGAGAGCTTAGTGAATGAGGTGAAGCTTTGCCGACCTCCATCATCCAATCAGGTGCAAGTGAAAATGCTCTTGTTTTTTTATTTACCTTGCATGTGATTGGCTAATATTTGCAAAGTGAAAATTCACCACATTTACTAAGCACTCAAGCAGGGACGGACTGACAACTCATGGAGCCCCCGGGCAATAGGGGATCATGGGGCCCCTGTGTCCTTGCCCAAACTCAAAAAAGCCTATGAAAAAAGGTACCAGGGGCATCTCATGGGGCCCCCTACTGACCCCAGGCCCTCGGGCAGTGCCTGAGTTTCCAAATGGTAGGTCCGCCCCTGCACTCAAGTAAGTTTCCCTGCAAAGTGCAACTTCCCTTGCAACAGTGAAAAGTAAAGCAACCCCTTTGACTTAAAGGTATTGAAACTAGACATAACAGGTAACTAGCATTTACAAGAGGATGCCAGCAATGCAGACTACATATTTTTGTGACAGGTGTGCATTAACCACTTGCTGCCCGGTCACAGTAGTTTTGCTGCAGCCTCAACAATGTAAATAAACATTGCGATCCTGCTTCTGGGTTTGGAGCGTGCATGCTCCCTGCTGTCCCACGCTGTGGTTGGGCACAGCAGGATTTTGTCAACAGGTTTCGGCCAATGATTTATAGCTGGGACTTGCTGATCGGTTGTGTCCAATCACAGCACAGAGCCCTGTGTTTACAATCAACCCATTCTCATCCAGTGTCATTAGTACAGTGACAGTGTACAGTATTAGTACTGATCACTGTACAAATTTTTACTATTGATGTCAGTGTTAGTTAGTTGGTGTACCTTCCAGCCAGCGTCTGCTAGTGCCAGATTGCCCGCCACTTTATCATAGTCCCACTATAATTCACTGATCACCTCCATTACCAGTATAGTGTCATAGCTACGTAAATTCCAGTATATATACCATAGTTTGCAGATACTATAACTTTCACACAAACCAATTAATATACACTTTCTGGGAGTTTTTTTTCCAAAGACATGTAAAAGAATACATTTTGGCCTAAGTTCATGTAGAATTTTTTTTATTGGATATGTTTTATAAAAGAAAGTAAAAACATATATATATATATATATATATATATACACACACACTATATTGCCAAAAGTATTGGGATGCCTGCCTTTACACACACATGAACTCTAATGGCATCCCAGTCTTTGTCTGCAGGGTTCAATATTAAGTTGGCCCACCCTTTGCAGCTATAACAGCTTCAACTCTCCTGGGAAGACTGTCCACAAGGTTTTGGAGTGTGTCTATGGGAAGATTTGACCATTCTTCCAGAAGCATTTGTGAGGTCAGGCACTGATGTCAAATGAGAAGGCCTGGCTGGCAGTCTCTGCTCTAATTCATCCCAAAGGTGTTCTATTGGGTTGAGGTCAAGACTCTGTGCAGGCCAGTCAAATTCCTCCACCCAAACTTACATATCCATGTCTTTATGGACCTTGCTTTTTGCACTGGTACGCAGTCATGTTGAAACAGGAAGGGGCCATCCGCATACTGTTCCCACAAAGTTGGGAGCATGAAATTGTCCAAAATGTCTTGGTATGCCAATGCTTTAAGAACTGGAACTAAGGGGCCAAGCCCAACCCCTGGAAAACAACCCCACACCATAATCCCCCCTCCACCAAACTTTACACTCGGCACAATGCTGTCAGGCAAGTACGATTCTCCTGGCAACCCTCAAACCCAGACACATCCAACGGATTGCCAGACAGAGAAGCATGATTCGTTACTCCAGAAAACATGTCTCCATTGCTCTAGAGTCCTGTGGCGGTGTGCTTTACAGCACTGTAACCCACGCTTCGCATTGCACTTGGTGATGTGAGGCTTGGATGTAGCTGCTCAGCTATAGAAACCTATTCCATGAAGCTCTCTATGCACTGTTGTTGTGCTAATATGAAGGCCACATGACATTTGGAGGTCTTTCGCTATTGACTCTGCAGACAGTTGGTGACTTCTGTGCACTGTATGCTTCAGCATGTACTGACCTCGTGCTGTCATTTTACATGGCCTATCACTTCATGGCTGAGTTGCTGTTGTTCCCAGTTTCTTCCACTTTGTTATAAAACCACTAACAGTTGACCATGGAGTTTAGTAGCAAGGAAATTTCATTGATGGACTTATTGAACAGGTGGCAACTTATCACGGAACCAAGTTTGAATTCACTGCGCTTCTTAGAGCGACCCATTCTTTCACAAATGTTTGTAGAAGCAGTCTGCATGCTCAGATGCTTGATTTTATACACCTGTGGCCATGGAGGTGATTGGAACACCTGAATCCAATGATTTGGAGGGGTGTCCCAATACTTTTATCAATATAGTGTTTGTATATATGTACAGTATATACACTGCTCAAAAAAATTAAAGAAAACACATCAGATCTCAATGGTGAAAAATATCATGCTGAATATCTATACTGATATGGACTGGGTAATGTGTTAGGAACATAAGGATGCCCCATCATTTGATGGAAATGAAATTATCAACCTACAGAGAACTGAATTCAAAGACACCCCAAAAATCAAAGTGAGCAAATGATGCATCAGGCTAGTCCATTTTACTGAAATTTCATTGCAGCGACTCAAAATGGTACTCAGTAGTTTGTATGGCCCCCATGTGCTTGTATGCATGTCTGAAAATGTCAGGGCATACTCCTAATGAGACGGATGGTGTCCTGGGGTATTTCCTCCCAGATCTGGATCAGGGCATCACTGAGCTTCTAGACAGTCTGAGTTGCAACCTGGTGGCGTTGGATGGACCGAAACATGATATCCCAGAAGTGTTCTATTGGATTTAGGTCAGGCAAGTGTGGGGGCCATTCAATGGTATCAATTCCTTCTGTGAAAAGCACAGGGCCCCAGTGGCAGACCTGCCAATTATGGTGTTCAATGGCAAATGCCAATCGAGCTCTATGGTGCAGGGCAGTGAGCACAGGTCCCACTAGAGGATGTTAGGCCCTCAGGCCCAACATGATGAAGTATGTTTCTGATTGTTTGGTCAGAGACATTCACACCAGTGGCCTGATGGAGGTCATTTTGTATGGCTCTGGCAGTGCTCATCCTGTTCCTCCTTGCACAAAGAAGCAGATGCCGGTTCTGCTGATGGGTTAGGGACCTTCTACGGCCCTGTCCAGCTCTCCTAGAATAACTGCCTGTTTCCTGGAATCTCCTCCATGCTCTTGAGACTGTGCTGGGAGACACAGCAAACCTTCTGGCAATAGCACGTATTGATGTACCATCCTGGAGGAGTTGGACTGCCTGTGCAACCCCTGTACGGTCCAGGAATCGCCTCATGCTACCAGTAGTGACACTGACCCTAGCCAAATGCAAAACTAGTGAAAAACAGTCAGAAAAGATGAGTGGGGAAATAAATGTCAGTGGCCTCCACCTGTAAAACCATCCCTCTTTTTGGGTCGTCTCATTGTTGTCCATCTAGTGAACCTGTTGTTAATTTCATTAACACCAAAGCAGCTGAAATTGTTTAACAACCCCCTCTGCTACTTAACTGACCAGATTGAGAGAGAGGAAGAATGTAATAAAAAAAAAAAAAATACTACAATCCTACAAGTAAAGAGAAATCTTCCTAAAGTGAAAAAGAAAAAAAAAAATAATTGTTAAAACCGATGTTAGCAGTGAAATAAGGCAATAAATATTCTCCTTTCCTGGTGGATATTCTATCGAACATCGCTCTGCTCATGAGCGTTTGCCTTTGTTTATGAGTCCAAGAGTCAAGACTTCTAAATGGAGCAGTGTTAAATACAGGAGCATCAGGAAAGGTGAATATTTACTGCCTTCTTTCACTTCAGTTCAATTACTTCTTCGCAAAGGATTGCTTTAATTAGAATAAATAAATAAAGGATGGTGTTAACCAGAGTCTTGCGGGTACAAAATATGCATTGTATTCAAGCTGCATTCAATAAAAATGTGTCAGTTTAAATATTGTGGGATACTTTTCAACTCATTACATAAAGACTTGTTAAATCCAAAACCAAAAATGTAATATATTGCAGCTTACCAATCCTTTAGAGGCTTCCCCTCTCTTTTCACCTGGTGATCTGGCCAGTAACACACCCTTCTGTATTAGTGTGCCCCACTCTGGATGAAGGAGCACAGGGGGCACATTTGGACAGCAGCAATGTCAGTTTGGCAGGAGAGGAATGTTAGATGGACTCTGCGTTCATTTCATCTACTAAAATATTTTCATCAACAAAATATCACTATTTTAGTTGACTAAAATACAACTAAAACTAAAATGTCATTTTATTCAAAGGAAAACTAAATAAATATTTGACATCAAAATGAATACTGGGTATATATCACAACGGCTAAATCTGTGTCTGTAGTGCACATTCAAACCTTAACACTATAAATATGGTATTAGATTTTTACTCCAGGAGTATATAATGAGTTTTCAAATTCAAAATAAATGTTTAAATAATGCATTACAATTGAACTAAACCCATTAGATTTTAGTCGACTAAAATGTACTGGAGATTAAAATATGACTAAAACTAAAAAAATTCAGATGACTAAAATACAACTAAAACTAAAATGACATTTTAGTCAAGAGGCAATGACTAAAACTAAATCAAAATTTGACATCAAAATTAACACTGGATGGATTAGCACATTTAGATACACTAACAAATTGAAGCCAAACTCCAGCTTGCACTTTATAATCAGTTACACACATTTTTTTACATAAAGGTTTTACATAAATGAATAAAAGCTGATTACACGTGTTAAATGGTTTGTCTTATCTTTGTAACTGATACATTCTGCTTGACAGCTTGTTCTTTTGAAAATCAAAAAACTTACTGGCTGGACAGTCAGAAGAGAATAAAAGAAAGAAAGTTTAAAAAAAAAATACAGCCATTACATCTAAGAACTGGTAAGCTGCAATATAATAAATGTTTGCTTTGGGGTTAGTAAGTTCAACACCCTTACTGTCCTTACAGTGTAAACCACCCTACGGTTTATGGTTAAACCGCTTCTCTTCCAATTTCATCGAGTGGCCATGTGTCTTCTTACACTCCCTGATACTGAATAGTTTATTCACTTTACTAGAATCACCATTAAGATACTTGTATATCAATATCATATCCCCTCTCAAGCATCTCTTCTCTAGGGAGAATAAGTTTCATGTTTGTAGTTGTTCCTCATAACTAAGGTCCTCCAGTCCCCTTACTAACTTTGTTGACCTTCTCTGGACTCTCTCCAGTTCCAGCACCTCCTGAGGATTGGTGACTAGAACTGGACAGCATACTCCAGATGTGGCCGAACCAGAGTTTTGTAAAATGGCAGGATTATAGTTTTATCTCTTGAGTAAATTCTCTTTTTAACTGCTTTCCTGCTGCCATATAGTAGAACTACTGCTACAGAGTGGCAGGGCTGTGCAAAACCATATATATATATATATATATATATATATATATATAAAAGTAAATATACAGTATATGTGAGTGCACTAAAAAGTTTTTTCAAGCAAAGGTTGTTAGCAGCTGTGCACGAAGGTAACTAAATAAAACCTTTAAAAAAACACAAACTAGAAAAGTGCAGTGCTTAAAATTGATAGTAATAAATATATGCAAAATTCATATATGATATGAGTAATAAAATCAATATATATATGATAAATAGTTTGTATTGGTGACTAAAATGGTTCCCGTATAGCTCTAAGTGCTTCAGTCGGTACTTGTGCTCGTTTTGAAACTGAAGAAATGTGCACTCACCAGACGCGCAATGTTTATGCGATTTGTATAATATACCCTGGTGTCATCAAGATAATCATCTGGGCCAGTTGTGGAAGTGGCTGCCTCTCAGGATGGATAGGTCCCGGGGTTTTAAATGATGATCCAGGGGCATCCAGAGTTCCCCGTAGGGGATAGGTGGGTGCAACTCACAAAGGTTAACTGGAGGCTTCCTCTCTGGAGGAATAGGGCTGGTATTGGGCATCTAAAAGATCAATACTTGAGTGCTTGTAAAGTTTACACAATTTCCAATCCCAGTTCTCTGGATCGCTGGAGTCACTGTCCTATGGATGAGGACGTCCGGCCATGCCACTCCCAGCTTCCTCACATTACTCCTCTGCAAGCACACATGATCTGCCTCCTCTCCTCCTCTCTCTCCACTTCCACCAACAGACCCGCAGTGCTCTAGCCCGAACCGCATCCACATCCGAGGAACCCTCACGAGAGTCGCCACCTCCTTCCCTGTACGATCCCACCAGCTATCGCGAGATCTCGCGCTACTTCCTTTCCTCACCTCCGGGGGTGCACCACACTTCTCGCGAGACTTGCCCAGGGCCATTAGTACAGTGTCAGTGCTTTTTATTAGCACTGATCACTGTATTATTGTCATTGGGATGTCAGTGGCAGTTAGTCAGTTCCCACCCAGTGTCAGAATGCCCGCTGCAGTCCCACAGTCCTGCTATAAGCCACTGATCACCGCCATTACTAGTATAAATAAATAAATAAAAATTCCAGTATATATACTGTCATTTTTAGATGCTATAACTTTCATGTAAACCAATTAATTTACATGTATTGGGATTTTTTTTTAGCAAAGACATGTAGCAGAATACATTTTGGCCTAAATGTATGAAGACAATTGATTTTTTTACATTTTTTTACTGGATATGTTTTATAGCAAAAAGTTAAAAATTCACAGGGGTTAAAATACCACTGAAAGAAAGCTCTATTTGTGAGGAAAAAAGGACATAAAGTTCATTTATGTACAGCATTGCATGACCGCGCAATTGTCGATTAAAGTAACGCAGCCTGGTCAAATAAAATGGCCTGGTCAGGAAGAGGGGCAAATCCTCTGGAGGACAAGTGGTTAATGCACACTAATACACTGCATTAAGCAGTATAGCATCAAGTTAATTAAACTCCTGGGATATTAATCTGGTCACTTAAGTAGCAGGGGGGTTGTTAATCAGTTTCAGGTGCTTTGATGTTAATGAAATTAACAACAGGTGCACTAGATGGGCAACAATGAGACAGCCCCTAAAACAGGAATGGTTTTACAGGTGCAGACCACTGACATTTTTTTCCCTACTCATCATTTCTGACTGTTTTTACTAGTTTTGGCTAGGGTCGGTGTCACTACTGGCAGCATGAGGCAATACCTGGCCCAATAATGCCTATCAGTGTGGCTAATAGTGTCCATCAGTGCTTGCTGTTAGTGTCCATCAGTGCTGGCTTACAGGGCCCATCAGTGCTGGCTATCAATGCCACCTCAGTGCCAGCTGTCTGTGCCCATCAGTGCTGTCTATCAGTGCCACATATTGGTGCAGCTTCATAAGTGCCTCCTCATCAGTACCTATCAAAGCAGCCTCATCAGTGCCCATCACTGAAGCCTATCATGCCCATCAGTGCAGCCTCATCATCGCACATCAATGAAGGAGAAAAATCACTTATTTACAAAACTCTGTAACAGAAACTAAGAAAACTTTTTTTTTTCAAAATTTGTGGTCTTTTTTCATTTGTTTAGCAAAAAATAAAAACCCCAGTGGTGATTAAAAACCACCAAAAAAAAGCTCTATTTGTCTAAAAAAAAAAGATAAAAATTTAGTTTGGGTACAGTGTTGTATGTTCGTGCAATTGTCATTCAAAGTGCAACAGTGCTGTAAGCTGAAAATTGGTCTTGGCAGGAAGGGGGTAAAAGTGCCCGGTAGGCACGTGGTTAAGTGACAGAACACAAAAGGTGCACCAAATGCACATTTATTTATGGAATAATCAGTTTTCATATAGATCTTAGCCCTTTGCATATGGATTTATTGCTGTAAATATTAAATATACTGACAACCCAATTTTTATTAGACTGGATTTTTGTTCAGAGGATGACTACATATCTTTACAGGTGAGGAGATCACAGCTACTGTGAGATTTATACCATTATTTTACTTTAACAAACTCGTGGCATTTGAAGGGCGTTTGCACAATATATGCCACAAAATGCATTCATAATTTTACAAGTTTACTTCTAGAAAAAAGAGTTATGTGAAATATATTATAAGTGATGTGTGTCTGTATTGCAGTAGTTCTTATCAGCGTGAGATGAATTGAGGCACCGATTTAACGTTTGTCCTTTTTTGACACAAATGCTGAATATTTGGGGAAAAAATAAATCCTCATATCAGTCCAAGGTGATTTAAGCAAGCAATAAAGAGTTGGTTCTTTTCTTATAGAGATGAAAAAGATGGGAAATAAATCAAAATTGATATATACCTCAGGAGCAGTTTAAACAGCTTTTTCCAACATCAATTTAAGAATGGTACTAAAATCTATTGCATGTTGTTTTATAGCCCCCAAGATTTTTCTTGCTAATATACTTTTCTATAAATAGTAATTCGGTAAGTCTCTATAAAGGAAAATGAGTATTAGTCTCTTAGTTTGTTCTCATATTTTCATTAAGCAATACTCCATGATAAAGAAAACATTTTTGAAGGTTACACTGTATTTAAATTCTGTGGTTAAAAAAAATGAATATATCATGCTGTATGAAATGACCATCCAGAGCAGATGTGTGGAAAAGTTTTCTGCTTAAAGCCATTTCTTAAGTTTTATTTTTTTTTTAAAACAAAAAACAGATTTATACTTTATACTTACCTGCTTTGTGCAATTGACCTGCACAGAGTGGGTCTGAACTGCATTTTCTCAGGTCTCCCATTGGCACTTCTGGCTTCTGTTGTTCTTGGTATTCCACCATAGGCACCTATGGTGGCACACCTGCATACTCGATCCTAAACTGCCTGTGTCCATTGAAAGAAACAGTGAGACTTGGTTCTGCCCACTATTCCCTCATCACAGGATTGACTGACAGAAGTGGAGCAACGTCATTACACTTCTAACAAAGTGGAGCAGGTCATTACTCTTCTCCCTGCTCTAACAGGCTTGGCTGAGAGCAACAGGAGCAATGGCTCCCGTTGTTCTCAGCCAAGCCTGTTAGAGCAGGGAGAAGAGTAATGACCTGCTGGAGAGCTACTAGACTAAAGGGTGAGTGTGGAGGTGATAGTTTAACTTAAGCATTTATACCTTAATGCAAGGAATGCAATAAGGGAAAACAAGTGTAGGCTTTATCATTTTAAGTTTAGTATAACCTGAAGTGTACCTGCAACTGCCCAAATCTCTCGTACTAGTGCAGTATTCACCTGTCTCTGTTCCAATGAGATATTGCTCACTAGATCTTCTAACTGCTGGTCAAAGATCTTCTCATCTGGGACCATGAATGCAATATTATATGGGGTCCTGGACAGGAGGAGTTTTGACAAGCAGTGAAGAGATCTAGTGTGCAATATCTAGCTGGATTGAGGTACAGTATTTACTGAAGGGGAGGTTGAGGGTGGCCAGGAGTGATCTAATATAAATATGTTGCTGCACCAAAGTTGAATGCAGCCTTTCTCAGCCAGGGATTCCATGGAACCCTACAGTTCCTCCAGAAGTTGCTAGGAGTTCATTGAGCAAGGAGAAATTTCTTCCTTTCAAATACGTTTCCACTGATACTATTGATTTATCTGTAAGAGGGGGGGATCTTCCCACTGACCACCAATGTAAGGAAAATTACTCCCGCTTACCTGACCATCAATGAAATTAGCAGTGGCAAACTGACAATTCATGGGGCCCTCGGGGAAAATCTACTCAAGCCACACCCACACAAAGCCTCACATACATAATGCCAAGAGAAGACATTTTGGAGGTTCTGTATGTAGAAATGCTTGGTGACAGGACATTTTGGAGGTTCTGTGTGTTGTAATGAAATTGTGGGAGCTCCTGTGGTGTTATATAAAGTCTCCTCAGAAAGAGATACACACACACATCTCAGAGACGGGAGGACATTGTGAAGAGGACACACCACCTCATAAAAGCTCTGTCACCTTACACTGTGTTCCAAATTATTATGCAAATTATATTTTTCTCATTTACCTAAACAATTGATGTAAATAACAGTCAGCATAATTCTCATGTTATCAACTATTAAGAGTACAATTCAAATTTTATTGAACAAACCTCCTAATGATAACAGTATTATTTTAAACATAAAAAACTTACAATGCACTGTTCCAAATTATTACGCACAGTAAGTTTCAAAACACTGTATAGGTTGTAAAGAACTGAAAATTGTCATTTGTTGTGTTTGCAGCATATTTACTATAATCAAAAGCTATTTCAATCAACTTTTAACAACATTTTAACTTTTTAAACATTTTAACAGGTCACGTTACATTGTAACATAGGACCCCTTATTTGATAGCAGCTTCACAAGTCTTGCATCCATTGAACTTGTGAGTTTTTGGACAATTTCTGCTTGAATTTGTTTGCAAGATGTCAGAATAGCCTCCCAGAGCTGCTGTTTGGATTAAACTGCCTCCCACCCTCATAGATCTTTTGCTTGAGGATGCTCCAAAGGTTCTCAATAGGATTGAGGTCAGGGAAGGATGGAGGCCACACCATGACTTTCTCTCCTTTTATCCCCATAGCAGCCATTGATGCAGAGGTATTATTTGCAGCATGAGATGGTGCATTGTCATGCATGAAGATGATTTTATTATGGAAAGCATAGTTCTTCCTTCTGTACCAGGGAAGAAAGTGGTCAGTCATAAACTCCACATACTTTGCAGAGGTCATCTTTACACCTTCAGGGCCCCTAAAGGTGCTGACCAGCTCGGTTCCCATGATTCCGGCACAAAACATGACTCCACCACTGCCTTGCTGACGTCGCAGCCTTGTCGGAACAGGATGGCCGTCCACCAACCATCCACTACTCTATCCATCTGGACTATCCAGGGTTGCATGACACTCATCAGTGAACATGACTGTGATGACATCACAAGGGGGTGGGGGTAAGCCCATCCCTTTGTGACGTCATCACAGTATTTATTAACTGTCATCACTGCGCAGTTGTCAGACGGCAGGGAGCCAGCATTGAGAGCGGAATGTTTTTTTTTTTCTTTTTATCTTTTTTGTTTTTAATAAAGGACTTGTCAAAGACTGTCTCCTGTCATTTTTTACTACACTTTCTTTTGTGTAGTAAACCACCAGCCATTGATGGGGGGACCCCATTCCTTTTTCTTCTTTAATTTTGAAATTGTCGGGCAATGCTGACATGTCCTTTGACATTCAACTGTCAGCAGGGAACCCCACTGACAGCTGAAACATCAAAGATTGTTTGACTACTAAAATACAGCATGACCTAATAATATACTGTAACTCATGCTGCATTTTAGTAGCTGAGTAGTATCTTACCGCATACTCAGATGCGGTAAGATACCGCTCAGTAAATTGTCCCTGTTTGAAGTTCATGGGTAAACTATCGGTGGGTTTAATGTTCGACCACGAACCGAACAGGCAGGTGTTTGTCCCTTCAATAATCATCACAAAGGAGCCGCCATCTCCATACAGACAGCATCTGTCCCTTATACTGTACCTCCTCATAGACAGCCTCTATCTTCTCTTACTCAGCCTCCTCTCCCCTGACAAAACTTTTTCCTGCCATGTCTGAGGAGGGCTGTTGCTCTCCCAGAAGACCTACTGCAGAAGATGATAAGAGACTGCAGACACAGTACAGGAAATGGCCAGAGACTGCAGACATACTACATAGGATGGTCAGAGACTGCAGACCTACTACAGGAGATCTTCAGAGACTGCCGACATGATACAGGAGAGGGTAGAAGATGGAGGAGCTACTACAGGAGATAGTCAGAGACTGCAGACATGATACAGGCAATAGTCAGAGACTGCAGACATACTACAGAATATGGTCAGAGACTGAAGACTTACTACAGGTGATGGTCAGAGACTGCAAACATGATACAGGAGAGGATCAGAGACTGCAGAAATAGCACAGAAGATGGTCAGAGACTGCAGACATACTACAGGACAGGGTCAGAGACTGTAGAAATAGTACAAGAAATGGTCAGAGACTTCAGACATACTACAGGTGATGGTCAGAGACTGCAGATATATTGCAGGAGATGGTCAGAAATTTCAGACATAGCACAGGTGATGATCAGAGACTGCGGACATACTACAAGAGAAAGTCAGAAACTGCAAACATACTACAGGTGATGGTCAGAGACTGCAGCCATAGTACAGGAGAGGGTCAAAGATTGCAAACATACTACAGGACAGGGTCAGAGACTGCAGACATAGTACAGGAAATGGTCAGAGACTTCAGACATACTACAGGTGATGTTCAGAGACTGCAGATATATTACAGGAGATGGTCAGAAATTTCTGACATAGTACAGGTGATGATTAGAGACTGCGGAATTACTACAGGAGAGAGTCAGAAACTGCAAACATACTGCAGGAGATGGTTAGAGACTGAAGCCATAGTACAGGAAAGGGTCAGAGAGTGCAGATATACTACAGGTTATGGTCAGAGACTGCAGATATATTACAGGGCAGGGGCAGACTGACAACTCATGGGGCCCCCGGGCAATAGGGGATCATGGGGCCCCTGTGTCCTTGACCAAAATCAAAAAAGCCTATGAAAAAGGTACCAGGGGCATCTCATGGGGCCCCCTACTGACCCCGGGCCCTCGGGCAGTGCCCGAGTTTCCAAATGGTCAGTCCGCCCCTGTTACAGGGGATGGTCAGAAATTGCAGACATAGTACAGGCGTGATCAGAGAGTGTGGAAACACTACAGTAGAGAGTCAAAAACTGCAAACATACTACAGGTGATGGTCAGAGACTGCAGGCATAGTACAGGAAAGGGTAAGAGACTGCAGACATAGTACAGGTGATGGTTAGAGATTGCAAATATACTACAGAAGATGCTCAGAGACTGCAGACATACTGCAGATGATGGTCAGAGATTGCAGATATACTACAGGAGAGGTTCAGAGACTGCAGACATAGTACAGGAGGTGATCAGAGACTGCAGACATAATACAGGAGGTGATCAGAGACTGCAGATGTTGTAGGAGACAGTTAGCAGGTAAGTAAATCTTGTGGTGAATCTTTTCACAGCAACTTAGATAGAAAACAGGCCATCATCAACAATATATGGCTCATTGCCAAACACTAATTTAAAAAAAGGAAGGCATTACAATCAGCAATCAGAGAGAAGTATACAGCTTCCAGATAAGTGGATGTCTCCAGAGGGGAAAGAGTGTAGGAACATCTCAGGAAGAAACTAGATAGAACAAAAGGAATGCAGCCTACAATGTGATAGGCACAGAGTACACACAGCCTGGGTAGGAAGGTGTACAAGAGGAGAGGAATGTTCCACTCCAATATTCTCAAATACATCAGAATGACAGGATGGTTGGTCATCTGTCTTCATGTAAACCTCTGAAGTGCTCTCCTCCCTCAGAAGGCAGCACACCTCCTGTCTTTCTGTGCTTCATCCCGGGGGTTTTGATGACATTTACAGCTGTGCTGTTATCAGGGTGAAAAACTGGATGAATGGACAGGGCATTGGAGGGACAGACTCCTGGTCGGTACAGAAGCCAGTTCCGTTCTTAGCAGGAAGCTGGAAACTGCAGTACTAGAGGCTGCCAGGGTCTCCCTGCACCTGATTGGTTGCTAGGACGCTAGGCAGGTCTAGCAACCAATAGTTTTCACACACAGGTCAGCAGCAGGAGTCAGGACTTAGGAGACTCTTAAACCTACAGGGGGAAGCTATCCTCCTTTACACACTGTCTGTAAAAATACTGATGGTTGGCAACACTGCGTGGGGTCCTCACTAGCACCAGGCCCTCAAGCAGTGACAGAATGGTCAGTCTGCCCTTGGTAAATAGCATTCTTCTCATTGGCAGATATAGTAATTATTACCAGGGGTTCCCTGACACCAGAAAGTTATATCAAGAGTTCCTTTATGTTAAAATGGCTGATAATGGCTGCTTTAAAGGAACACTGGTGATATTCAAAACAGTACAAAACGTTTACAGAAAAGTTGTAACTAATCTTTTAGTTAGGATTTACAACACATTAATTGCATACACTATCTTGATGATAGTTGCAAATGAACAGATAGAAGTGTATCTGTAGCCTAAACTTTGCTTTCTTGGTTTTGGATAGAGCCTTCATAGGCTCCATTGGAGAGATGTCTATTAACCACTTCACAACCATGCTATAGCTGAATGATGACTACAGTTGTTGAGTTCTGGGAGGGTGCAATATGACATCCTCCCAGAATGCGCCCCCCAGCAGCACGCACCTGGCGCTCTCCGTGATTGCTATGTCCTACACACAGCTGATCACATGATGAGGTAAAAGGCCAATCACAGCAGCCTTTTACCATGTGACCATGTGTCCAATGACACAGCAGATCACCAAATACAGTTGCCAGTTATCGGCAGCACTCTCCTCACGCTGTCACAGCATGAGGAAAGTACTGCCGATAACCAGCAAATGTCACAGAGCAGATTGGCACTGATCATCAGTGCCCTGATGATCAGTGCCCAGCAGTGCCGCCCAGTAATGCCACCCACCATTGCCCAGCAGTGCCACTCACCAGTGCCCAGGCAGTGCCACCCATCAGTGCTCTCCAGCAGTGCTGCCAGTCAATGCCATCAGTCAGTGACGCCAGTCAGCTCCGCCCATCAGTGCCACCTATCAGTGCCCATCAGTGCAGCCTATCATCAATGCCTATCAGTACTCATCAATGCCTCCTCACAATGTCCACCAGTGCCGCCTCATTGGTGCCCATCAGTGCAGCCTGTCAGTGCCCATCAGTGCTGCCTATTAGTGCAGCCTCAACAATGCACATCAGTGAAGGAGAAAAATTACCTGTTTGCAAAATTTTATAACAGAAATTTGTTTTTCGCATTTTTTGCTCTTTTTTTGTTTATAGTCCAAAAAATAAAATGCCCAGTGATGATTAAATACTACCAAAAGAAAGCTCTATTTGTGTGAAAAAAATATAACATTTTCATATGGGTACAGTGCTGCATGATTGCGCAATTGTTATTCAAAGTGTGACAGCACTGAAAGCTGAAAATTGGGCTGGGCACGAAGGGGGTAAAAGTGCCCAGTAGGCAAGTGGTTTATAAGTTTGTCCTAGGACAGAGGGTAAAGGGAAACCTCTTTTGCAGATACACAGACAGAAATAAAATGCTTTCTTTCAAGTAAACTTTTGGAATACTAGAACCCTTGTCAGTTTTTATTATTACTTCTTACCCCATTACAATTCAGTTTACTGATGAAATTCTGATGAAAGGTTGTCCTCTAAACAGAAAGTGAAGAAAATTCTTTCTAACCAAGCGCTGCATAACAATTAAACATGACAGGTGTTTTAAACTTTCCCCATTCTATCAAAAACAAAAAAGAAAGAAAAACAAGTTTTGAGCACAGACACACTTTAAAGGATAAGTTCACCTTTGGGAACATGTTACATTTCCCACCCATTTTTAGGGTGGAACATGTAACATGTTCTGAATCCTGCAGTCACTGCCCCCCCCCCCCCCATGACAGAAGTACAGGGAGAAGTTCCCAGTACTGAGAAGTACAGGGAGAAGTTCCCAGTACTGGCTGTCAGTGTTCCAAAACAGCATGGCCATGTGGGGCTCTGGCCACAGGGCCGCGTCATTCATTCACAGTTTTCTGTGAATTAATGGACTACAGGTCCTTCATGAACTACCATGGTGCTGTGAGCTCTGTGGCAATTCATTAAGTCTTCCTGTCAGCAAGTATTGGCTTGGCCTTACGGAAAGTACAAACAAGCAGATACACTGACAGTGTGCAGGAGACCTGCATGGCACCAGTGATCTGCTGTTCACTGGTGCAATGCTTTACAGGCTCCTAACACAAAAAATAATAAGTGTACGTTTTTATCTGCAAAAAAATATGCATGTATTATTTTTTGTGGAAAGGTGAACTTGTCCTTTAAGCTTGGCCTCCAACAAATTTAAAATGGGGCCCTTGGCAGGCTTTGCATTGTTCTTTATTCTTGCTTTAGTGTTTATAGCAAATAGGCTGGTCACTCTGCAAAGAAATTTTAACTTCTGAAAGAACTTCTAACCCCTCATCACTCTATCTAAACCTAAAAAAAGTAGGTTTTGGTTTCAGATACTGTATAATGTAACATACTTAATTAAAAGCAACACATTAAGAACTTAAAAAGTCCATAATAAAGTCTATGAAGATTTTGTCCTGTTTATCACAGAGAAAATCCCCAAAATACACAGATTTTTAATATGAGGCATAAGGAGAAATCTCAATCCCCTTTGCACACCAAACATTCGGGTCTCCAGGGCTCCTGGTTGCATTGCTAAGGTTTGCCAAGATTTTTTCTTCCACTGGTGAGTCAAACTTAGCCTTATGTTCTTTTATTTAGTACAGATTATTCCACCCTTACTGGTTCATTTTAAAGTGACACCAAACTTTGGAAAAAAAATGATTCAAGTATGTATTTTTAACTTACAAAAAATACCTTCTATTGTCACAGCTTCCTTCAAATCAACAAACTCCTTTTTTTTGCTGCTGTGATCCAACTTCCTGTTAGGGGAGGGGGTGGGCTATGTTTATTTTCAATGGTCTCACTGTTTGTAGGAATGTAGCCACCCTCTCTTGCTCACTTCCGAGATGCACTTGTACATCAATGCAGATTGCCAGTACCATGGGATATGTAGTCCTTATAAATACATTGTAAAAAGTAAACAGCAAAGGAGATGCTGCAAAGCATTCAGGGAATCCTGGAAATTGTAGAAAAAGATTACCAGCTGAAAGGCAGCACTCATAACATAAAAATAAAAAAAATCAAGTAAGCTCATGTTGAGTTGGCAAAAATAACTATTATTAGTATTTCTATTACAATATTAATGTTATGAATTGAAAGTGTATGCTGTGACCAGCGTGGAAGCTCTGGGAAAGCAATCTCTAGCTGAACAAACTGCAGCAGCGTGGGGGAGCAACCACCACTACCACACACAGTGGGAATACCCCTGATCATCATCAGCAGTGATTGGGAAAAGAAAAGGGAAGAACAAAGCAAGCTAATGGACTTCTTTGTGGCAGCGGGAGCCTCTTCTTTTCCCTCTCAAGATGGCACCAGCAGATCTCCAACTTCTTTCTGCGATTTGTCTCCAGGAAGTGTTTAGCATCTGAGGTGGCTCTAAGGCAGTGCTAGATTTATAAGGGGGCAAAAGGGGCCATTGTCTCAGGCCCCCTTGACAAAAAAAATAAAACATATAAAACAATATTAAAAATGATGAAAAATAATAAAATATAATAATAAAAAAATAAAATGCTTTATTAAATTTATTTTGGGAAGTAATATTTTTCTTGCCATAATCTGTAAAGGTTTTTACTATGGACTGCTATATTGTATCATTTTTAAGAAAATGTAAATTTTGGCAACTCAAGCAAACCACACTTACACACTTAAGGAATGTGTGCGTACAGGCATAACCTCAGAACGACATTGTCTAATGCATATTGAAAATGTGTGACTGTCATTGAGAATGTAAAGCAACTATGTGTATGAGGGCCCCCCCCCCCCCAAAACCTGAAGTTCCCCGGGCCCCCCCAAGTTCTAAATCTGGCCCTGCTCTCAGGGACAGAAGTAAATGCCCATCCACTCAGGTTTGCCCTTTCACCAGTCCACAGAAGTCAAAGTCAAAGCATTCTTCTACACATCTACCTACAGATATCCTACCTCTAGTCAATCTATTATGGACACCACTCTTAAAGGCTGAATTATAGACTGCATGAAGGTAAAGAACATTCAGTGTGCAGCTTGCCCACCCCTGCCCCCCTCCCAGTACTTACCTGAGCAGGGGTGGACTGACAACTCATGGGGCCCCCGGGCAATAGGGGATCATGGGGCCCCTGTGTCCTTGGCCAAACTCAAAAAAGCCTATGAAAAAGGTACCAGGGGCATCTCATGAGGCCCCCTACTGACCACCGGCCCTCGGGCAGTGCCCGAGTTTCCAAATGGTCAGTCCGCCCCTGTACCAGAGTATGATTGCAATCCAGT